CGAAAGCTCCGACGTTTTGACCCAGATTGTCCCCGATAATCGCATTCCCGCCACGATAATCACCGGCTTCTTGGGCTCCGGAAAGGTTCGATATTTTCTACTCATACTCTCTTTTGTGATTTGAGTCGCTAAATTTATGGCCGGTTTTATCCAAAAGTTTCATTGTTTGAATGCCACTATAATCTTCATTATTTACTGAAATGCACTTGTGAAATGAAACTGGCAGACGACATTGCTTAACCATATACTAACTGCGGAGCATGGGAAGCGAATTGCGGTGATTGAGAACGAGGTATGAGGCTGAATTTTGCACTTACTTCTTGTCGTTTCTTAATTTATGTTATGTATGTGAAGGTTTTGAGTTTTTTTTGGATTTTGCAGTATGGTGAAATAGACATTGATGGTTCTTTGGTTGCTGCAAAAACCACTGGGGCAGAAGATATTGTTATGTTGAATAATGGGTGTCTTTGCTGCACTGTGAGGGGTGACCTTGTTCGTATGATTTCAGACTTGGTCCATAAGAAGAAAGGGAAGTTCGATCATATTGTAATAGAGACTACTGGTATGAAGTTTGTTTTGTTTTAGTGCACTAAATTTTGGTTCGTGGTTGTTTGTTTGCAACTTGTTTCGTAGGGTGTATGAAATCGTTAATTCAGTGAATTTGCTTGGCCTTTCTGGTAACTATTGAACTTCATGTGAAATTTTTTTCTTCTTATTTATTTGTAGGATTGGCAAATCCAGCACCGATCATTCAAACATTTTATGCTGAGGATGAGGTTTTTAATGATGTCAAGTTGGATGGTGTTGTCACGTTAGTTGATGCTAAACATGCTGTTTTTCATCTGGATGAAGTTAAGCCAAAAGGAGTTGTCAATGAGGCTATAGAGCAGATTGCTTATGCTGACCGTATCATTGTGAATAAGGTACACATGATTACTATGATCTATTTGTGTATCAGGTTTACTCTGCTCTGCACTCAAATTGAATAGTTATGATTCTTGAAAACTGAAAATA